ACCCACGCCGAGTTGTCGTGCAGTGTTCTGAAACCTGGCGCCTGATTATTTTAAACCCACAAAAAGACCGCGAAACAGCTCCCTATTTTAACCATAATTTTAAGCTCACTGGAAAAATCTGCAACAATTAAGTCATGCACCTGTGAGGAAGAGAATAGCAATAACCACAAGAGGGTCTAGGCTTCCGACACCGCACACGGAAATGAGCAAGGTGACAAGACATACCAAACTGTTCATCGAAGATGTATCGACCGGACTGCTGGTTGTGGGGGTAGGTGCGGACCTCGGGAGGCGGGGCGCCCTCCATGATGCAGAGGAGGGTCACGTTGTCCCCCTCACGCACGACAATCTGACGCGACTGCAGGGCCGAGCTGTTGTCCTGCGAGACCAGGGGCAACAGCAGACGCACCGGAACCGGCTTATCGGGCACTGAAACACACACCAAGTCGCTAGTGTAAACGCCCAATCACTTTTGCCTAGAGAGATGTTCTCAAATTGACGAGACAACAGGCCGGTGTATGTGGTTTCACGTTCAATGCCAAGCCTATGTACGGCAGCCGTTTCAAATGTGGACGATTCTCTGCAGGGAATTATGAAACTGACCAGGTGGGCCTCAATCGAGGGAAACGAAACGGTTTGGGTTTTTGAGACAGTCTATCCAAAACCGTTGACACGTGATCTCAGCCAGTAAGTCAGACGTACACAACAAAACGGTCGGCTGTTGTTGTGGCTCGAAGGCGTGGGTAAACACCTGTCAAAGTGTGTTTATACCAAGTGTCAATAAGAACAACTTATAGCATTGGTCGAGGCTTATGCAAGACATGCAACTTCAAATAACTCCGATTCACCCGAAATGAGTACACAAAATCACTGCACATCACGGACAATTGACGTGTCAAACTATGACTAGGAACGCTATAAAAACGTAGGCGTATTCAACTAGGTGACAAAGTCGACCTTGAATAGCGATTGTCGTCTGTGCGTAGATCACCTTCAATGGGTTCTAAACGATTCGTCTTCGTAAGTTGAAACCCTACAACCCCAGAATCTGTTATGTGGGACGTACGATGACCACGGTAGCTGTAGCTATGCGGAAAGGCATCTGCATTAGACCCTCATATTAAGAGCTTCGCCAAGGTCGACGTGGTCAACTGGCCCTGTGGCTGCATTCACCACCGCCGGACACCCCGGCCAAACTGCATTGTTTACGCAGAACCGTCTCTGTGTGTGTGTGTGTTTGTATAAACAGAACCGCCTAAGGCTCACAGACCGTAGGTAATCACAGACAAGCACAACCCACAACTTCGTTTTAGCGGTTAACTGAACGGTTGAATCTTCGTCGCCTTATTCGTATTTGCTGGGCGCGTGTGTGCTTTCGTGCAGCAACACCCAAAACGAAGAAAAAACAACAGCAACAACATCCATTTTGCGGCGCGGAGTGCTTTTCAGTATGACCAAAACTTCGCCGGCGTTTTACAAGCTGTCTTTGCGTTACTCAGTCTTGATCACAGCTATGCAGCCAGAGGTAGTGAAATGATTCTGCCTAAGCGATGAGAGTGTGTAGATGAAACGTGGGTTTGGGAGTTGAATGCTGTGAGAGCGAGGGAACGGGTGACTCAGCAGACGACCAGCGACTCTATCTGTCCACAAAATAAAATGGTTTATTTGAAGTATAGCGAAAGAAGAGACTCAAGTGAGGATTGTCCGCTTTTTGGGCGGTGTGGGTCACCTACACTTTACTCAGTGGGTGAGCCGGAAAGCGTTTCGGCCAAATGGAGAGGAAAAAATGACCAAAAGAGGGAGCTCGAGGTGAGGAGGAATTGCGAGAAAAGAGCACAGCCAACTGACCTCGGATTTGAAGTCTGACGATCATGGGCGACCAGACGGTTCTGCCGGTCACGGGGTTAGTCAGCGAACACCGGTAGTCTCCCTCGTCCGATGTTTTGAAGCTGTTGATTAACAGCAGCACGGAATTCTCGTTGGGTCGGCGCACCTGTTTGTACTTTTCTGCAAGACACAGGCACAGGGGTCAGAACAATGCGCATTATAAGGTGGTTCAACACACAAGCAAATGTGGACATACGCTGTAACGATATAGGGCGTGCTTTACCTTAAATTATCTACAAGGCACGAACACACGCAGACGAAATTGTGTTGAAATCACCTCAGCGCCTTAGTGATTTGATTGGAGCAAAAGTGGAGGGAATACGAACCCACGCATTAAAACGGCAAAACATGCATTTCATCATTACGATAAGAAAATTTTATGTGGCTCTAGGGACGCACTGAGGGGGTCACATCGAGGTAGCTTAAAGGTGCTATGCGTAGCGCCCTTGGCATCATGGTGTTTACACTAAGCTGGTACATCTGTAGGGGCTATTCCACCACGGACATTTGATAGCATTTCTAGAAGTGGGACACAGGACAGCAAAGGTATGGCAAGCAGGCGACTCAACAACAATGAAACACGCACGCACACACACACGCAGATGTACACACAAAAAATGACTACCACAACAAGGCCATTGACTAAACGGTACAAAATTACACTAAAACGTCAAAAAAGCACAATTGCGGATGAAGGATGAATCTAAAATCGAGCGTAACTCTGAAGACAATGTCTCAGTCGGGAGATTGAATCGAAACGAAGCTCATACATGGCAGAACAAGGAAGCCTTGCACACTTGGTGTGACGAAGTGTCAGACATAAACAAAAGTAAAAGGTGACTTCGGTGGTTTATGGCCTAATGTATTCGCGACGGAGGAGAAGGTGTGCGGGCTTGCAGGTGGTGGAAGGACACAGAATGACTAGAACCCGAGAACGCAGAAAGAATTGATGAAACCCACGGGATAATCATTAGTGGTTCACACAGATACGGAATTTGGGGGAAGAAAAGGTACACGGGGCTAGAATACACCACGAGTTAGATCCAATTTGACTGTCATTATCGTAATCAATAATCAGTGCCCAGAATAAAGAAATCCCCACAGTGGCATAATCAAACACACACGCGTAGCTAGCCGGAAAAAGGAACACTATCTGGGCTTGACTATCTTGTAAAACTACGCAGTTCACACGGGAACGTGCGCTGTTTGTCCATCACGCAGCCTGGTGGAATAGGCGAGGCGGTGTACAAGTGTTTAATCATTAGTCTTTCGAGTCAAACCACCAGTGGGCCAAGGGAACGCGAACGACAGGGCAGCTTGAGACGGCAGTGCAAAGAGCTTGCGAGGTGAACAAGCAACACCACCTGGCGCGCCTCTTAGATTAAATGGAGATGGCAAAAGACGGGGACATTTGAGGGGCGACACATCAAAAGCACTAACTAAAGCGCTCGCTGGACTATAAAACACAACAAATCACAGAAAACAATGTACTGATGATTGCCTGGTTAAGCAGCAAACGTTACCTTTTCTGGTGAAGCCTAGAATCGCACACAACAGCAACAAAAACGGCGCGTTAGGTCGGTTATGAGTGGAAAGTGCCTTTGATTGGCTAATATCTATGATAAACCAATACGTTACAATTCACCTTTGCTTAAGCGACTGCCAGGAATGCGGAAGATGTTGATAAAAAACAACTTTTAAGTGAAATTACTTGTCTATAAGGAACGACACACCGAGCGCTTCAAGAACGAAGGCCACCCAGCAGTTCTTAACCCAGTGCTCAACCAATGGCGCTATCCACCAACGCCATGCCCCAAACGATGTGTCATCCAAAGTGAATGACCAAAAGACATTCACAGTGTCGCAATGAGGGACACTCGCACTACGGTACGACGATTGGCTTTCTATGGATGGCTGCCGTGGCATTGGAAGTGAGTATCCACAGCACAGCTTAATCAGGACCCCTACTTCGCAATCCCCTGCTGGCTATGAGGTGCCAATTGAAACTGTCAAAGCCATCGCCAGCTGTTTGATGCATAGGAAGATTGTGGATATTGACTCATCACATGAGGAGGGTAAAGCATCCCGCTGACCGCCATCAAAAACGCCGCAACTGATGGTTAAATTTTGCGATAATTCATAAATCCACACCCGAACCTCGGACGTTTGTGTGAGAGCGAGTGAGGGAGGCAGCGTCCGCACGCACCCCTTCTCGTGAGACACTCATGAAATACGCCAACGCGCATACCCACACACGGTAATAACACCCGTTCACGGCACTAAAAGTAACATCTGGCAGGCTGGCGAAATAAAACTCCAATGAGTTTAAATTGATGTCGGGAAAATAAATATGGGTGTCCATGGGACACCACTCTGCAGGCTGGTTGTGATGCGATAATCGAAGTTAGCGCGAGAACGCTCCTGTACGCGTAGTGTGCTTAAGCCACAGGAATAACTTTGGCATTCCAAAGCCGATGTTATCAAGGTTACACGGGATTCTTTTAACAGAAACCAACCCCCGAATTGACTAAACTTAAAACGTGGACGCTTTTAGATAAGGGGTTAATCAGTTGGTAGAGACTGTTGAGGAAGCCACCTGGGCCACGAAATGGTCGTTTCAGTGTGACACCAAGGCAACAGAGTGCTTGATCACACACAACTGCCGAGTATAATCGCTGACATCGACGAAAACTTAGTGACATATGAGCGTAGAGGATATCGTTGATACGAATGAGGGCCTCTGAACAGACCACAGCATGGATGATTCTAGTCTACACTATAGACAGATGCATTCCGCAGCCTAGACTGCGAGCGTAACATGCATCGTGACTTACACAGCTCGGCATCACGAACTACCGCATTCATGCTGCTAGCATCGGCACACCCCGCCACAATGAATGGCACTAATGTAGACACTTACGGGTATTGTTTACGAGGGAGCCGTTGATGTAGAATTGGACAGTCGGAGGCGGTTGGCTGTCCGGTGGCAGGGGGCAAGTTACGAAGGCCATGTTGCCCTTAATGAACTCCCGAACTTGCGTGTTGGTGTAGTCCGAGGGCACAGCGTGCCCCTCGAGCATCGAGAAGTCATCCAGCCCTGTGGACGAAAAGACTATGCAGTGAACGGGAATTCCAGTATCATCCCTAAGCACAAGGCCAAATTCTCCGCATCTACGTCGGTTAGTGACAAAGAGGACGGTGTCGGTGATAGAGGCGAGGTTCGACATGTTGAGGAAACGAGGGGCAAGCATTTTAACAATCCAGCTGCTAAACATCACCTGTGAGGCATCAGCAGACAGTCAGCTGAGAAGTGTCACTTCTCACACAAAAAATACGACACTGTTAGTCGTAGATTATAGAAAACTCGGAAAACCGATAATAAAGGTGGAAACAAAAGGGAAGGTGGGGTTCATAGTGTGTTTTGATTTTGCCTAAACAAAATCCCTACAAAGAATCCGGATAGAAATCGCTGATGAATACATACGACAAAGTTACACAATGAAAAGCTTATTCCACGATTTGAATAGAGATCGGAACAACCGTTAACATAAAACTACGATAGTTGAGATACTTAATGCAGAATATTCTTTAAATTATCAACATTTATTTATGGTTTGGTTATCCCTGGCACGGTACATACAATCGCGATTGGTTGGGGTTTCGAGGGGAGACTGGACAAGGCTAGAAGCCACGAGGATAGTTTACCGAAATAGCCCCAAATGCCGATCCAATCCATTGGAAGAAAACAGCCACCTCAGTTCATAAGAGCACTCATTAGAAGTGTGAGGCAGAAGTTGGGATTTAAGTGCGGGTTGGCTGTCAAAAAAGTGAGAACTGGCAAGACACCTTTTGAATGGGCTCATTTCGCTTGAAAAAAAAAGACCCTGCACAGAGGATGCACCGTTTAATGAGGCAAAAAATTAGCCAGTTGGCGTGTAGGAGGTTCGTGGTTTCTATAACCATGCGATGCGGCGAGTTACTAACTTTGAGATTGTTTAATGGCAGTCACAGTAGAACAGAATTTAGTGCTTGACGATTCACCAGATAGGCGCATCTAGGCGCTTCTTCACTAACCTGACACGATTAGTCCCACCCCTTAAAATGGTGTCAAACGCCTTTTGATAGGGTTCGGTAAGGGATACAATCTCCTGGTTACTTGAGCGAAGAGAGCAACAAAACAGACCTGTGGAACGAATAGCACTGTTGACTGAAACAGCTGTGACAAGAACGACCTTCATGGAGCCGAAAGAACACCTTCTACTAAAGGTTGTCATTTAATCAAGCCACCATAAAACCGAAGCGTAGTATCTGTAAGTTAAGTCAGAAGAGTGACTCGGTGGATACACCGGAGCGTACTTGCGTGAACAACGCGGAAGGGAGCGCTGACAACAGTTCCAAACTGCGTGGCAGCTTTGCAGTGCAGATCCATGTAGTCCACGTGCCACACGTCGGAGGTGTCCGAGACCATGAGTTGGGCGACGACGCTGGAGAACGGCGAGGGCTCCGGCCTGGCGGCCTCGGGGTCGTCGGCGACCACGGCCTCTTGCACCGCGAATGAGTCGGGTGGCACCGGGCCGAGGTTGAAGGGCAGCTGCGGCGATGAGAGGAACTGGGGACGCGCGGAGAGGATCGACAGGTTCGCATTGGGTGGCCAGACCTTGCATGTGAGCAAGGACTCTTGGCGCGAAACGCGACTCTTGTCCAGGTAGGTAACAGGCGGAGGTATTGAGACGATGGTTGGGATTACTTAAACAGAAACAAGAATGCATGCAAAGAGTCGGCTTATGTGTGGTGACGAGGCGAATGATAGGTGAAAAGACATGTACCATTACTGCATATACCATAACACGAATAAAATCGCAACGCAGTTTCAGACCCTGGGGTAAGTTTCAATCGACAAACTCTTAATTACTCAGATATGAGCTCAGAAACCGCCATGGAAGGTAGAATGTAGCAGCAAGTGAAATAATGTCCACCAGCGGCACTAACACACCTGTCAGGGTACCCAGAAAAGGCGGTTAGAGTTGTTAGGGAAGAAAGCGGTCTTGTCTAGAAAAATCAATAACCTCATACAACCACTGCATTTATTGAGAACTTTTCGCAGATACCTCGTGTATTTTGTTGCAAAATAACCGAATGCATCAATGGTAGAGATGAAATTAGCTCTGGCAAGCGTTGGGACAATCCACGGGCCTCAATCAAATCAGAACATGAAAAGGAATCTGAATCTGGCACGTATTCACCAAATAATTAAGGCACATGCCCCCCACACACCCTAGGATGGTGGTGGGTTCAAAAAACGGCGGCCTTCACACGGTGTTACGAATCTGGTGGCGTGGGGAGTTAAGAAAGGCATGTCGCAGGGAGTGACACACGAAAGCCAACAGTAAGGGCTTGAAACGAAACCTGTCAAGAGAAACACCACGTCTGCTGGAAATTCAGGAGAAGCCGTAATGCTGACTTGGCATCAGTGAAATCACAGCGGTTCAGAGAAGGCCCACGCATAAAACGCGACAGACTTGCTAACACTTTGGGGACAATTACACCGAACCGATTGTAGACATTAAGCCTTAAGATCCTTCGATGACAGGGACACACAAATTACCCATTAATTCGAGGGGGAATCAATTAAGCTAACCAGATGGGTGAAAAAACGGGCCAGCCGTGGGGGGCGAGGCACCGCACAAAGACGGAGGCATCCCACTTACAGGTCAGGGTAGTTCGTCAACGCCCAAATCTAATTTCGGCGGCAACATTTCACCACACCCCACATTGACTTGATTCTTGGCGTGCCGTTTCAAAGCTACGCCAAAAGTGAGCTTTAGTGTAGGTCAATTGCAAATTTGAACTGGCTGGTCAAAACAGGTGACTGTTCTACCACCCTGCACCACACACACACACACACACGTTCATTCGCATAGTAAGCGTGCGTGGCCAGCGTAAACACATAAATACTGGACCAAGGTGGCTTTTTTAACTATCGCAGACGCGGTAAGTTCATCTGCCTTTCAATGTCGTGGGTACACACTGCGTTTTGTTGCTACACCGAAACCGGTTTTTTGCTCACTTTTCGATTGTGAAATCGGCGCGAGAGCGACCCGTGTCAACACACAAAGCACACCTAGAGTAAACTCATCTCTCACAAACAAAATTTACGAATCAAGAGAGAGCGAGAGGGAGAGAGAGAGGAAGGGCTAAATTGGACGCAAATTTACTTAAGATGAGCATCGCCCGAACCGCCGAAGCGTCAAACGAGAGTGAAACCCCAAGACGACACAACAAATAGCGCCTGTAGTGAAGAAAAGTAGGGCTCTTAGTCAATGAAAACGGAATGTAACATAGCAGAACAATAGTGGAGGAATGCGTAACCTGTACCACCATACGTGTGCCCAGCCATGGCGATTAAAGGCATCACGTGACACGGGGCCTAGGAAAAAGCACTTTTGCCTCGGAGAGAGCGGGATTACGGTTGCCGAAATGTCAGTTGTAGCGCGGGCGAGTATTCTGCCAGTCATTAGGGCCGCAGGGTGGTGGGCGACATAGGCCCACACATTAAAGGCAAATCAAACACTTTAGGAGTGAGGGCGTCAAATTGCCCTGTGGTGCGGTGCTGGCGCACCTGTCGTAGGGGCGGCTTAAGGTCAGAATCCACCGGGACCATGCAACAGGCTACAGCACCTTTTAATCGCGCTCGTGGTGCGCAGCCGAGTGGCATACTCGCGCAAAGACGCCTCAGGAAAACACGAAACAAACCACCAGTAACAGGTGAAACGCCTACCAAGGACTCGCATTTAATGAATGCAGGTTATTACAGCACTAAAGGAGTCAGACAGGCTTATTTGAGGTGTTAAAAGAATGCACGCAAAAAAGTATCCCATTGGGCAGGGCGCTTTGCCTGACAACTTACGTGCCAGCCCAACCGTAGAACAAATGAACATGGAGAAATGCTACCCAGTAACGAATTAATTACTGTCGGCTTTTGCAAGAAGTTATGGGATTTATTGTTTGGTCGGAATACAAAAAGTACTCGGGTTTTCGCCTTCCACAGTCTTCTACGTGATAAACGAAGCTAGATGCAAAGCGATGCTTAGGTCATTGGATGAAATTGTTGTGAATGAAGATGCGAAATAGAAAGGAAATAAACGAACGTCTGAGTGCGTAACATGCTCTGGCGCAAGAAGAATTCAGTTGCAATGAGGTGTGCTCACAAGGTGCCCTTACAGAGCAATCATTCGCCAAAGTTCCAACACCGGAGCATGCAAGAGATCGGTCGCCAGGTGACAAAAATATCTGAGGCTTTACCACAGCACGATAACCGCCATGCTGGCAGATGACTAGAGAGGAAAATGAACCCACTGAACGCGCAGAATCGCCACCACACACCTGACCTCCTGCCACTGTCGTAGTTACGGGGCCTTATCGGCACACGAAAGCAGATACACACAAGGCAACACGGTTATAGGACAAGCCTGTCAAAAAGGACTTGTGCCGATGGAGTTCAGTGAGGAGTCACCGAGCAAGCAGACTCTTTCCAGTTTCAGAAGTCTCGGGAGTGTTCCTTGGAGTTATGCCAACTTCAGACGATGATGTTAAGGCTTTGCAAAATACGCATAAACCAGAGACTGTTGGAGTGCAAGCAAACGCATCCACAACTACTTCCAACATGCCAAAGGGCTGTAATGTAATCTCGTGTCATTTGTCTGCCGGGTGGCAAACGATTGCTTTTCTAACCGTTACCACTTTTTCGCAAAGGCACCCAACCTCACAATCCTCCACTGTGCTTGAAAATATACAGTATACTGGTCCTTAGGCCCAGTTAATACCTGTAGACGAGGTAACGACACGTCGTAAATACACGAACATGTGTGAAACTAACGCTACAGATCAGCCAACGTGCAGAATGTAGTCACAGAAGCTTAGAACGAGAACTACTAAATTCATTGCAGGAGGGAAATTTATCAAAAGTCAAGACTGATAGCTGTTAAGCTTCACGCATCAGCGATGGCGAGGAATTTGGGTTGGTCAGTTGAGTTAACACCCGGGCGACGTTAACTGAGCAATGAAAAATGTTGAAGAATGCATTTGAGTGCGATTTAAACGCACGGTAAAACCACCACATATCTTGTGTTTTTCGTTATAATCAAACCATTGAATAACGGGGGCTTGCAAGAATTATAGTGTTACAATGACTTTAAATTTTAGAATACATCAAAACTACATAGATCAGTTTCTCCTTAGCAATGTCACGAAATTACGTGACGAGTAAATCAGTCAGCTATAAAAACGAAAAGCAACTGACCAAAACAGATTGCAATGTAAATAACATACTTCGGCGTTCAGAAATGCGTGCCGTTGAAAACCAAACACCTTGGCGCATGCGCTACGTATTGGCAAAGTCACATTTGCGCCATGTTAAAATGCGCGAAAACAAGCGACTATTTCTCACGAAAATCCACATCTCTCTTAAGGTGCTACGAGGGATGCCCGTGAAAGCGGTATTTACGCCATGGTTTCCAAAGAACCAACACCAACGAACAAGTGATTAAATGTGCGGAAAATCGAAACCCTCTCCTGGTGGCACGCTAAGTCGATCCAGTAAGTAAAAAGCAGCACCACTGGCCAAAGGAAAACGATCTGCTCAAATCTGCTCCGATCAAAATAGCCTACAGTTGTTGCATTCCCCTCGGAACACAACACAGCAATCGACGTCCACCTTGGCATCTTGACCTTGCTGGCCAAAGCAGCTGCACACAGGAATGGCCAGTTCGATTATCCGCAGAATGAACCCAATCTACGTGTCACTCAGGGCGCAGGACTGTCCAACAAATGGCCGTGATCTTGCCAGCAAAAAAGGCGGAAAAAGCCTGCCATGGCCTAGATTTTGTTTCTGCAAGGCTGGGAAGAGGGCGTTTAGCGGGAGCCAACTTAGCATAATTCTCTAGTCCTTACTCACACTTTACAACGCGAAATTTCCAGCCCAGCGCAACGTAACAGAGGGAAAGCCCTGAATTACGTTTCAAAAAGAGGGCAGCCAAAAATTAAGTCTCAGAGCTGTGCATCAAGCAAAAAAAGAAAATTAGGAAACAGCAAAATCGGATGCCACAACATTAGCGTAAAGCCAAACACCCTTGTCAAGAGATTCACATGGATTTAAGGGGAAAACGGTGAGAACTTACTTCGGATTTTTACATCCGGATCAATATTGGCGAGAGAATTTGAGATTAAAAAGCCCACCAGGGCTAGGGTAAACCCGAAGGAAGGAGGCATCACTGTCGCCGTGTGTGTATGCGATAGGAGTAGATCAAACGGTTACTAGGTTCAAGCCACAAGATTCAGGTGTCAGCGTCTCCAATCAACGACGCCTGCACCCATGAGGGTTACGTAAATAATGCCTAAAACGAAGCACGACGACAGGTTAAGTGGACGTTGGACGTTTTCTGGCATGGTGTGCCGCGCTTGGAGAAGAATTCGGGTCGTTTAATTGCCGGAGCATAAAAACGATGTGGCATACAGGTTGCCCTATTTGTCAAAACTGTTCGACCCACAAATCGCCCAGGATAAACAAGGCCGATGTGAAGACCACAAACCCGGGTCAAACGTTAGAAAGCAGCTAGTCGGCCTGACGCAACGGGTGCTGTGAAACTCGGAATTGATATTTTACTTTGGAAATTTCTAAACCACACTGGCAAGCCAGTACGAAGGCTCAAGCACCAGACGAAGTCCAATTAGCAAAATTGACAAAAACAGCCTAGCCGGGGGTAGGATGTGTGCAGACGCACCTACTTTGCATGAATTGACTAAATTACTCGCGTTGTGTGTGTGGGGGGGCAAATGCAAGTTGACCATGCTTGCACACATAACAGTAAGTCGTAATAATATGAAAAGGAAATGGATTGCTTTGGATGGGTTGAAAAGTGGAGAAGCATCTGATTAAGGCTAGGCGCTGGCTCCAACTACTGAGAATCGCGTCCGTCTGTACACACGTGGGGTTTTAGACAACTTTACAATAACTCAAAATCTAGTTTTGCATGAGGAAGCAGTCAGAATCGGAGACTTGAAGCTTCGCTGTTCCACGGCCAAAAAAAAACCACGTAGGGCGCAGGTCCGGAGGAACGGAGACTATAACTACGGATGCTGATAGGCATTTTGTGCAGTGGTTAATGTACCATCAACTAGAACATCTAGTGCACGAACTAGTTAAAGGGACTCAGAGCGACAAAATCTGGCAGTTGCTTCCCTCGATGGACAAACTACTAATTCCTCGGCCTGTGGTCAGGTACCACAAAAAAGGGGTGAAAACCGATAATTTCACGACACAGATCACGCTATTGGTTCAACTTCTGGGGGGAATATTTGTGGGAAGTTGGGGCTTGACCTCAATGGCGATTGAACACACGCGAGTGTGGCTGCCGTTCACACTTAAGGTCACGTGGGGAAGGCAGGAATGGTCGAGGGAAAGCACGAGAACAACCATTTTCGAACGTACAGGCCTCTTAATGGGTACAATTCGATTACTCGTCAATAAATTTAAATGGACGGCAGAGCGCCACAAAATCATACTGGGCAGGTTTTCACACGCGATTTCACGCACCCCGTAACCTTTAGTCACAAAAAGCAGCAAGGCGGGAAAAGCGGTGGTGATAACTCAGTGGCCACGCAATGCTGCGTGCGCGCATACACGCTCAACGGCCTCGTCGAA